GTGCTCTGGTGCCAGCGGTTGTGCTTTCGAAGAATCTGGAAAAGAAAATTACTCTGACCTTTCGAAGCTTTATTAACCTGGATGCATAAGAACAATGGACAGGACTCTCTCAAGGTAAAGACTGACCTTTGCTAAGAAAGCTATAGGCCTGGGAGGTGCCTACCTATGATGACCTGTCCAGTTAGGAATTTATGATGAGACCAACCTGTGTGCTTACTTTTGGTTATGGAGTTTATAACACCTGCCATGCGGCTCCACTTCTAGCTTTGAATAGCAGGACAAGAGGAGCTGTTTGTGACAGCTCAGCTTTTTCTCTGAGGGCTTGGACCTTGCCTTGTCCTTGGGGATTTTCCTAATGGGGGGCATGTGAGAAAGTACTGAGATGAGTCCTTCTTCCCCAACAGAGAGATGAAAAATAAGGAGAGAGAGAGAGAGAGAGAGAGAGAGAGAGAGAGAGAGAGAGAGAGAGAGAGGAAGAGAAGAGAGACAAAAGGGAAGAGAGAGATAGAGAATTGCTCTGCAATATCTGCCTGGTAGAAGTCTCAGAAGCAGGACTCTAGCCTCCCAGCTGTCACAAACACAGTCCTCAGCCAGCAGGGTCGGCACACTAACCCTATTACTCATGGAGGAGTTAGAAAACAAACCTTGGGGATGTTAGCTCCAGAGCTGGAAGAACTGGTTCCTCCACCCTGGAGGCCTGAATCAGCCACCAGGCTGGGCTTTGGTGGAGTGCTGGGCTGACAAAGCCTCTGGCACTGGAGCAAGGGGAGATGCTATTGAATCTGGAGATAAACACATGTTGTTAGTTGTTCTGCCACCTGCCAAAACATGCCCTTTGGGCTTGTCAGTTTCTTGAGGGAAATACTCCAAGACCAGAAGAGTTCAATGACTCAGTGAGCATTATGACACCCAGGCTAAAGCCGGGAAGGAAGAATCAAGGGCATTGTCTAAACACAGAGCCTGAAGAAATGGAGCCTGTTGACCTGCCCAGAGTGACTCATGACTATGTGATGGGGCTCTAGCCCAAGGATGGCCTCTATTGCTCCTTCCAAGCTCCTCCTACAGCACTGGTGTTGGTTTTCTTCATTCCTTTAAAAAAATGTTTATTTATTGGTTTTAGAGCAAGAGGAAGGGAGAGAGAGAGGAGGGGGACATCAATTTGTAATTCTATTTATTTGTGCATTCATTGGTTGCTTCTTGTATGTGTCCTCATCAGGGACCGAACCCACAACCTTGGCGAATCTGGACAATGCTCTAACCAACTGAGCTACCCGGCCAGGACCTCTTCACTGTTTTAACCTTGGTTTTTGCCTGTTGTGGATAAGATCTCCCAAAGGAGCTGTGGTAGCAAGAACTACTGGCAATAATGGCCCTGTGGCAGTGAGCTTGTGTTAACTGTAATGCCGACAGTATCTCCTACTGGAACCATTCTAGTGACGGGACAGCTCAGCAGAGGTTGAGGATTAGTACGCAGGCTCATCAGTAGTCAGTGATGAAGGTTTTTCTGCTTAGACCCCAAAACTGAAATTCACAAGGCCAGCCCAAACTCGCCCAAAGCAGTCACTGGGACTCTCACAACACCATCACGCTTCATCTTATATCTTGAGTTACCTTCCCATATAGTCACATTTATGCAGGAACTACGCTCCCTTATATAAAAAGCGGCACTGGTGCCCTTGAGTGAAGTGTAATAACTCTTCATTCTCTGGGAAACATACTAGCATTTCAGCAAACATTGAAATGAGGGGAAAACATTAGACTGAAGTCGCTCCTAGTTTTAGGACAAGCTAATTCCACTCAGGGCTTCTACTTGTGAGTAATCATGTTACCGGGGAGGGGACCCGGCCCTGAGCAGATCTGCCTAGGGCCAGCCAGTAATGGGTGGATTCTTGACTTCATGTGGGAAAAATGTCACAAATCCAGGTGAATTTTAGAGGATGTTTATTAAAGTTGCGGACAGTGAAACAAGAAAGGGCTGGGAAATGGGCCCAGGCTGGTCTGCTTTGGTTCAGTAAGAGGTCAGAGAAAAGGAGGTCTTGGGGACAGGTTCAGGGGGTTTGCCCAGGACGAACTGCCACTGCC